ATTTTGCGTTGCTGGCTAGCGGGCCTTGCGGGACGCTCTCGAGAGATCTCGGACCCAACGAGAGCTCCAGTTTCAAGATGGCGGTTGCCTCGACTGGCGCAGCAAGGGCGACGTGGTGTTTTCCAAGTTCTGTGTTACGTGAAATTGCGTGGTGTTCAGCTCGGCGATTCTTTCTGGGACCTACCGCGGTCGAATCAGATCGCCGTGCAGCTGAAGGAGTGTACAGTGAAAATGTTCGCCGCTCGCAGTGTGCGTCGACGCTGCGATCTGCTCAACGCTAAGCCTATTCCCACAGTTCATCGCCGACGGACGAACGACTCTAAAAGAAATCGTCGAAGTTCTCGCTATGCACTGGACATCAGGGTCATGAATTTCATTCCGCGATAGCATTGATAAAATGTGCCGTTTCCACGGGACGACTGACGGAGGCTCCGTGATCGAATTTGGCTACGCACTCGTACTCGTAGCCTCTGTACCCTGCAGAAAAGCGCGCTTGACGAGGCAGCTGTGGCTTGGTTTAATCTGAAATAAAATGGACACTTTTTCTTTTTCAATATTTCTTTCCAGGAGCAAGGTTGCGCTATAAGCACGCGGAATTCTACGGCTCTAGCAAATTTAACCAAGATCATGAGCGGTGTTCACTCGAAAACGTAACGCACAACTAAATTCGGTCCGAGCAGGTCATTTTTACCGTACGCTATACTATTGCGTATTGCGTACGTAAGGTCCAGCGACGCTATACTAAAACTGTCTATTGGCTCTTGACTGCGGTTGACTGTGTGTCAGCGCAACTGTGGCCTCTGTGTGTACAAGCATGGCGCAAGCACTCTTCGCAACGCAACGCATCCGCTTGCCGCTACGGGACGCACCGCGCTCAAACGCAGATGTGCCTATAAGGAGTGTTCACTGGACGCCATATTTGTGGGTGCTGTTTCGAGCGCATGCTCAGAACGAACTCATATTAAGAGGTTGCTAAGACCGGCAGTCTTGGTGGTTTGGAATGCACGTTGCAAAAGAACTGTGGAAGTTCGGCATCAGCACGCGCTCAGCAGTCGCGCACACAGCAATGGCCGCCAGTGAATACTCCCTATAGACATTAAAGGCTGGACTCCATCGGACGAATATGCTGCGAAAAATCGACGAATTTCACTCGGCGGCTTTTGCCCTGCGCGCGGCATCAGCCCAGTTGGTGCTACGTCGCGCGCGAAGCGAGCATGCCGTCGTGGCGAAGTTCTTCAGTTAATCGTCGCATAATTCGCTCCATGGAGTTCAGCCGCCGTGTTAAGCTCAGCGCGGCTGATCTCAGCACGGCTGAGCTCCTCTTACCGGCGGGCGCGCAGCAGCTGCGCCGCCATGAAGAGGGCTTTTGTGGCGGCGTTTTTTTGCAATTACGCCGCACGAGAGCCAATGGAAGCCTCGTTCCTTAATGACGCGCGCCCGTCAATGGCAGCAAAGTGCATCAGAAATCAGGTTTACTAGGAAAAGGGAATTATAGGTGCTGTTTGGCCAACATTTGTCGTGGTTTCAAAGCTGATGACGTCGGTTCGCTCCATGGAAGAGTTAATGCTTTTGCATTAAAACCAGTTGGGGCAGCGTCTTGAAATTATAATGCTGCGTCCAGTGCAAAAGATTATATTTTTGGCAGTATCATATTCGTTAACTACTCTACTTTGAGGAACAAACAGTAATGTGATTTTTCCTCAAACTTCTCAAAATAGGTTCGACTAATTTTTTTATTTCTGAGTAATGCCACTGATTATACCTTCACATGTATAATTTCCAGCAACGAAGCTGTGAAATAATCGAGTGTATGTTTAATTTAAATGTATTGCAATTCGACAAGTTCACTCAGGAACGTCTCTGGAATCAATTTATTGCAGCCAATTTTTCGGACTTATTAGATAGTCTAATTTAGATTAGCTGCATCATCCTGTAGTTCGAAAGGTTGTCCTTGGCCACGCCAAATGAATTATTCTTCTTTTTATTATTAGAAATAATAAACAAATGATGTGGTCAAATTACGAAAGCAAAATCGAGATCGACAATTCAGCGCAGCAAGACGGTCTAGGAAGCAAAGATGAGAGGCCACGAAGCGCGGTCTAATGAAACAATCGATTCCGTTCTAATGTTAATATTAGCTGACAGATGCAAATATTCCTTCACAAAAATTGGGCATCGCTAGAACTCCGATCGTGCTCAAATAATAAAGTTTCATATAAAGACAACTACCTGATATGAAGACAACTACCGACCATAAGTGCTGGAACTATGAAGCGTTTTGAGCTTTTAAACCTGCTTTATCTTTTTTTGCCACAAAGATTGTTATAATCAGTGCAACTTGACGCAATATATTACTAACTATATAGTTTCAAATTCTTGTCTTCTGAATCTATCCTGGCCTGAAAAATGCCTTTTGATGAATCTTCGCTACAGAACCTGTGGAGCTGTTTTGACTTTAGCAACAATGTAACTTTTCCACATAAAGACATCAGGCAGTGGGCACACACAACATGCCCGGTAGGGGTCAGATAATATATGCATAAATCTCTGCGTCAGAAATCTTCTTAATCGGGCGGAGGCTTAAGCCAACCACTAGCTCTGCGGGGCGAAGAGGAACTACGAGCCGACGGTTCAATCTCGGTTGACTCGTTTCGAACCCTAAATTTCCACTCTTCTTGAAAGGAAAGCGTAAAAAGACTGGAACTTCGCGTAGAGTCAATCGACCCATGTGCAATGAAACAGTAACATCATGGCGCTGTTTTCTTTCTGCAAGTGAATTTTGGCAACTAAATCAACCGAGCGCGTTGGAAACCCTGTGACCTCCGGTTTCAGTTCGCGTGTGTGTGTTCGTTTTCTCGCGGGCGATATGAGCAGACAGAGTCCTACATGATCATTTGGCGTGCCTGCCGATACTTGAGAGAGATATTGTTCCAGCTAGGAATTGAGTACGATGTGGAGATCCCATACACATTTGTCACAAATTGAGAGAATGGAACTTGTAGGGAGTACATGTTCACAAAAAGGCCAAATAAGGTGTTTCAGCTCATATTTTCCGAGGTAATTCTCGTTCAAGCCGTCAACTGAATTTTGAATTATTATGAAACAAAGTATAGAACAATAGGATGACCAAAGTGGTCGTTTCGTTTTCGATAGCATTGTTACACAAACTGGGTGCACCTGTTTTCTATAAGTAGTATGCATGTGACCTAAGATAGAAGAGTTAAAAATTATAATGGGGGTGAGGAATGTCTTAAGTAAAAAAAAGCGCAAAGCTGCAGTTGCTTTTGCTAGGAAAGCAATTTAGAGAAATACCATCCGAAATGCGCAATCCTACATATATCTTTTAATCTACTGCAGCACACATATACACGAATAACTAATCCTCACCCACTAACTTTTTGATCTCGTCACTTAGTTTTTCTCCCCAGTTTAATCCTCCTCGTTTCCCAAGAAGAAATCTGTCCACCATATTTGGGTCATATCAGCACTGCGTGTTGGTTGCATTTCTTGTGACCTCAAAACCACACCCGCAGATACTTTTTTTTTTCGAATTGATACTGAATTACCGAAAACGTTTTAACCTCCGAGATACGCATAACAAAAAAATGTTTAATTAAAATATTTAAGTTATAATTATGTTTTGAAACACATAATTTTTTGAAAAAACAGTGAGTGCGCAGGCGAGCTGGTGGAAGTTGATCATGATCTAGAATACCCGAGACTGTGGTAAAAGGTGGGAAACTTGTTCGAAGAAAAAAGACGGGGGAAAAGAACGCCGAGACGTTCTTTTCATTCAGCATATAATGTAAGGCCGTTATTTTATTTCAAGGCATCGACCCGGAAACAAAAGCATTCTTCGGATTCGCTGAAATGAGTCTCATGACCTAAATGTTTTTTAGAAATATTTTTTTAAAGCTTTTATGGAAGATTTATTTTGATTAAAGAAAACATTTATTTTCTATGTCAATTCAGGCATCGAAATGAATGACGTTTACAATTCCCTGTAATGCCGAATTATAGCGCAGCTCTTGAGGAGGAGGGGGGAAGGATACGGATGGGAGGGTATCTTCTCCTCCACCTCCGTTACCTCTCCTTCTCTGCTCTTCCCTCCTCCTTCTCCTTCCTCCTTTCACCTCCTCTCCTTCTCGTCCCTTCCTCCTCCCCCTCCTTCTCTCCCTCCTTCCCCGTGACGTCACTCGTGGCCCTAGTGACCCTCGTGACGTCACTCGTGACCTTCGTCGTGACCTTCACTAATGACCTTCGTTACGTCACTCGGGACCCTAGTGGCCCTCGTGACGTCAACCGTGACCCTCGTGACGTCACTCGCGACTCTCGTGACGTCACTTGTGACGTCATTATGGGAAACGTCCTATAGTGTAATGCGCGGTTACGCCGACGGCGACGGCGACGCCACTCAAGCCGGAAATGGGTGCCCAAAAACTGCGCTCTAAAATGTTTTATGAGGATTTGTGTTACTAGAAGGGAAGCAACACGACCTGTCCAGGAAAGAAAAATGCCAAAAACACTGCGATTTCAGCGCGCAGATATCTGCCGTGCAGAATCGTGGGAATGGGCTTTTGGAACTGCGTATATGAAGGAACGTATATTACGGAGATGATATTTCGCTTGGATGTTTTATTTTTGTTTGCAGCTCTGAAATTTGAATGTTCATGTTTACCATTTCTTGAATTTACACACCCATTGTTTTAGTTAATTTCGCATGATGAATGTAGATGATATTACTTAGGCACTTTACTTTCTGATAGGTGGTAATCTAAAATGAATTTTGTTTTTTATCAATTTACCCAAAATCTTGTATTTTCTGGAAATTTGAACGTGCTGGAACACTTTATTATCTAGTACACGCACATTAAATGGCTTTTATTCAACATCAATGTCTGTGGAAGTTGAAACGTAGTGAGAAACTCATTATTGTTTAAAGGCGGGACATCCTCAAACAAAGGCCGTTACCAAGATCGGCTCCGCAGGACATCTTGCTCTCATCTTTTGTGTAGCCTAACACGTATTCCATCTTCTGGGTTAAGTACCACTGATGGTACGACAAATCTAAGTGGATCTTGCGTTTGTTCGCATTTAGAGACTTTGTACCTTCTAATAATATTGCATGTGGCCAATTTCACTTCCAGCAGAGCAAATCTTTTTCCGATGCAGACCCGGGGCCCCAGCCCAAACGGGAAATATGCCAACTGTACCTTTTCTCCTTCGCTAAACCTTTCTGGGTCAAACTTAAAAGGCTCTAGCCAAAATTCTGGGTCATGATGAACGTGCCACGTGGGAACTAAGACGTTCACACCAGTCGGAAAGAACTGACCCGATACCGTGGTGTCTTGGGTACAGTGGCGACTAACAAAAAGCACCACGGGCGGATAGAGGCGTAGGGTTTCGCAGACCACCATGTCCAGGCGCTTCAGATGCTGAACGCCATCATATGTCAGCTCTGCTCCATCGGGAAAGGCTTTTGAAATCTCGTTGAAAACACGCTCTTGTTCTTCGGGGTACTTGGCCAACACATGCATAATAAAGGCCAGGGACGATGCCGTTGTGTCGAAGCCGGCGATTAAGAAAAGAAAACAGTTGGACAAGAGATGGCGGTCCTCAAATACTGTAGCATTACTTCCAGACCCCACAGATAATCCTTCTCCGGATGTTTGAGCATCGAGCATGAGCTGAAGCATGTCAGTTGTCCTAGGGCTTTGTCCGCTCCTCCGGAGCTTTACCACGTTTAAAACGTTTTCTGTAATTTTGTTTATGATCTTGTAGTAGCTGGCGTATGGATACAGCCATTCCAGTATTTTTCGGAGGACTGGGAAACGAATTGCATTTACAATGACAGCGTTATCAACGTCTTCGAACACCTTCTGTACGCCCATCAGCAGGGGGTCTGTTGGGTTCTTCTGGCAATCCACCTGAAAACGACAAAACAAACCGTGTATGCACTCTTGATTGTTTAAAGATCTGCAGTTATCAAAAACAAGAATTCAATCAGGTGAGCAAGGGAAACAGACCCGTACCTAGTGTCTGCTTTTGCAAGGATGGGCACGGAGGTACAATTTTCTTGAACACAGCTGTTGCAAGCTCAGATTCGAAGCAATATATTTTGCAGAGCATAGTTCAATCTGCACTGGGAAGTTAATTAAGATTTGGATGCATAACGAACACTTAGAGCAGGCACATATTTTATGATCTTTTGTTGTTGTTGTTTTCTTAATATTTTAGTACTATTCTTTCCAGCGCATTCCACAAGCTCATTTTTGATAGGGTTGGTAACAGCAAAATCTATATCACAATTGTTTCGTGATATAAATTCAAGATATATCCGCGAAAGATAATCCAAATGGATAATCTTTAAAGACCAAACAAGAAACTCTTGAAAAAAAACGTACAACCAGCAGAAACGCAGAGTAAGAGTAAAATATCTTAAGAATTGAAATACGGATCATCCTTCATTGAAGGGAGTATTAGATCTGAATTATGAGGAATTATATAGTCCTTGCAGCATAAAGACAGCAACAGGGTCTTCTCCCACAAAAGCCAAGGCTCGACTCAATAACCACGTCGGAAGGCTTTATAGACATCTGGTGGAGCTCTTCTATCTTCTTTATGGGCGCTAATCTTCAAAAAATAGTACTGAATTACGCCACACTTTTCTTGATGTCATAAGTATGTTATGCTGACAGACTGAAAAATTGCAATTCTCGCACCGGTTTTCACAAGGAAATTGGGGGCTGGAGCACCTCCTGCAGATATTACACTGTGTTTCTCCAAAGGGTAATAATAATCTAAAAAGACGCATAAAAAAACATTCAAGATAACGGGGTCGACATCGGCGGATGTAAAGGTACAAATTCATTTTGATAATTATTTACTTATTTATCTAAATCCGAAATAATATTTGTTGAATACTTGGTTTATCTGTCAGAATCCAATTATAGATGTATTACAGGTCGTGGAACTAGGCTATAACGGCACCATGACAGAACAGCACACGACAAAACAGCACGCGACAAAACAGCACGGTCAAAACAGCACGCATCAAAAAAGCACACCGTCAAAACAGCACGACGACAAAACAGCACGCGTCAAAATAGTACGCGACAAAACAGCACAGCGTCAAAACGGCACAGCGACAGAAGAGCACGTGCCAAAACAGCACGGTGTCAAAACAGCACAGCGTCAGAACAGCACAGCGTCAGAACAGGACATTGACAATAGAACTAGGGTTTGGCGTTTTCGGTTTTAATTATTTTGAAATTCGGCGTACATTTTTCGGTTTTTATTTCAAGCAGAAGTTTTGGGTTGATTGCTGAGGATATTTGTAGACTCATAAACTTTTCATTTTTTTTCGGTTTATTTAAAGGCGTTTGTTTAAAATGAATAGTGAGCAAACCAGGTACTGGATTTCTTATTTGTTGCTGTCTGTGGCAGCGGACGCGACCTGTTCTGCAAGACCTACTGGGGCCCTATCGTGATCTGACATTATAACGTCGTGGGCTCGTATTTGTACACAGGACGAACATGAGCTTTACTACCACTTCGGTCCGAGAGGCAAATATCAAAATCCAAAAATTTACAAGCATTGTACTCAGTGCTTCTTTCCCCCATTTTCACGGCTGCGAGAGGTTGTTAAATCGCGCAGTCCAAGAAACGACAAGAAATCAATCGTATTTATGCCCTCCTCTAGCGGACGGAAGCTAGGGGTGTTAAAAATGTGCGGCGTTTACGAATGCCCTTTAATTTTATTGTTCAGTTCACGATTAAACTTTCTTCTTTGAACAAAGAATTCGACGCACAAATTCCTATCAGGTGAAAAACCCACATTTCGTCCTGAAGACCATTGCGTTGAACCGATCTCGGAGACAGGCTAAAAACTGAGGAAGGAAGTGGTCATACGGTCAGTAATGAAGCACATTCCCCCACCCACCCCTCCAAACGCCCTCGAAAATGCTGACCTCGAGACAGTTAAAACCGAATTAAAAAAAAAATCGTCGTACTTTTACCGGTTTTATCGGTTTAGGCCGAAAACGCTGAACCCTAAATATAGCGATGGAGTTAAAATGCGTGTCTCAGAGTAGGCACTGTAAAGGAATGGAGGGTCTAGGCCAATTCCTCGTACGTCATCTCGTCGACGGCCAATTTGTCGAATCCGTTCTCATGAAGGCTCCCTGGGCAGTACCGAAGCCCTCGGTTTGCGTATTCTGGCAATTTCTCAAGCAGTTCTGCTAATATTGACGCTCAAGTTTGCTGGTGATGTCGTCTACAATAAATGAATCAATCGCACGGCAATGTGCTGTTGTTAGTTGTTAAAAAAAGTGTGTGCCGCAACGGTGTGCTTAGCCCATGCTCTACGGACAACATTGAGGCTGTGGCATGTTTCTGCTTCACCGGTTTCCACTCGATCGAAGCCTTCGTCGGCAATAATCTGTGAATTTAACTCAAAACAACTTCTCGCCTGCACGCTGCAGCCACGTGTTTCCGGGACATTTTATTCACGGCGAATGAACCCCGGAGAATCGGTGCCCATGGTACACCTTGAATACGCTCCACGTTAAAATTACCTTATCTTCCCGGTTCTATCAATGCATCTGAAATCGGCGCATCTCCCGCTTTTTGGGGGGACGCTGTATACGCTTAGGTGGTAATTACGAAACGATGAGTACTACAGAACCTCACCGGACCGCCGCAACGGTTCATAACTTGAACTTATGGATTTCTTTTTCCAAATAACTTTTCATCTTTCGTTGGTTCTAAAAAAAGAAAAAAGAAAAGAAAAAAAAAATACCAGACAACGCGCCCAGCATCGACGCGAAGATATCACCCCTAACTACCCAATCTCTTCAAAGATCAGCGTAGTTAAGTAGTATAGTAACTACTGCTAACTTCGTTTGTTTTTAGCAATAACACAGCAGCACCAGTCGCGACACTGACTTAGAAATGAAATAGGCGATAAATTCCTCTATCACCTAGCGACAATAAACGAAAGGGTTAAGGAGGTTTGAAAATATTCGCGCAGAGAGATGTGAAGAGCGCGCTCGAAGTTGCTACATGCGTGCTGTTTGGTCGCTGTGCTGTTTTGACGCCGCGCAGTTTTGGCACGTGCTCTTCTGTCGCTATGCCGTTTTGACGCTGTGCTGTTTTGTCGCGTGCTATTTTGACGCCTGCTGTTTTGTCGCCGTGCTGTTTTGACGCGGTGCTGTTTTGACGCGTGCTGTTTTGACCGTGCTGTTTTGTCGCGTGCTGTTTTGTCGTGTGCTGTTCTGTCGCGTTCCCGGCTATAACAGTTCTTAGAAGTACACAGGTAAATTATCCGCGATATTGAGTGGGAAAGGTAAGCTGCCTAGAGTCGGCCAAACCAAAATTGAGTGTAAAATAGCACCGAGAGCCGAGCGCTCGATGAAACATCAGACTGCGGCACACTTTTTCTTAGATAAGTGGACATTATTTAGATTTAAATGCCCAGATCGGTTCACAATCTGTCAATACCCACAACCACTGCGAAGGCACACATCACTTTCAGCAATACCGTCTATTGTTCGATTCGTTCAAGGTTAAGGATGATGATTTCTTTTTGTTTTATAAGCACTCACTCTTGAAATCCAAGATTTACCGGAGTTTTGGTGGCAAGTGTAGCACATGACAATGTTAATGAAAAACAGTTTGAAAGTTGCGATGGCACTTGCAAAACTATTTTTAATAGCTATAGCAGAAAGAGACCCGCGAGGCATACAATCTGCGCATGCGTTTAAACATTGTGCTATAATTACAGCGGCTGCTGCGATGTATTTCAGACGATTCGACGGGACGGTGTGCTTGCAACATTATCTGTTTTGAATTATTCATTAACAGCCGGAAGCTAACAGATGTCCAAAAACAACCCACGGACATAAGAATAAAGGTCGGACAAAGTTGTTCATTCTTCATGCGTCTTCTAGTGTTGTTCTGGAACACTTGAAGTTTGAATACCTCTTAAAATACTTCGCACGAATCACTGCTTTTAGGCACAAATCTGCTGACTTATTGAAGAAGTTTTTTTTATTTTTTTATTTTACCATGTTTACAAAGAATTGATATTGGCTCCCGCTTTGGTTGGCAGTCCATGCTAAACTTACTTTTTTGCTCGAGCACCTGACGTCAATACGTGTGGCGTAGCCCCAAGTTTTCATTGACCGACGTTCTTTAGAATATTAACAGGTGAAGGTCCCTGCCTTCGATTGCTGTTCGTGCATCACCGTGCCGCATTATCTTCTTACGCCACAAAATTAATCTCGTAACTTTTTGATCTCAATACATGTTTATGTGAAGAGACGAATTTAGAGCGAAGACAACATCGTCGCTTTTGAGGCTCAAACTGGCCAGGTTTGCTCGTTTCCGCATGCTTTTCTGCCGAGCACGAGTATCTGTCACATCACCTAATCTAAAATCATCAATTTAGTAGAAAAAAAAAATTATATTGTATGATGTCACGATTGTTCTCAAAAACGACAAGAAAACACAAGAGTGGTATGCTTAGTAAATAAGGGCTCTCATCAACAGGTACTGCCAGATGACTTTAGAAAGAAGTTTAACTCTACGTTTGCCGACAACTACAAGGCAGTGTCAATAAACGTGGTCCAGGAAAACTTTGAAGCTCAGCCATGTGCAGAACACGTTGTTTTAAGCGGGGTGTTGAACAAGCAATAGATCAGCGTGTAGCTAGATATCGGTAGAAACACGGTACACGCACACAACTCAGCAGAAGCTGTACGGCCATTAAATGTGGTATTCAAGGCGAAGAAAACGATCCAGATAAAGGTGACACCGACTCAAAAAAAAAAAATGGACGCTGGAATATTAAAAGAGCGACAAAAAGAAGCTTCTACGCTGGAAACATAGTTTAAAAAAGTTGTACAGATGCAGAACACGAAGTATG